CAGCCAAACTGATGACATAGATCTGAAAGAAACACAGGAACACAAAAAGCATAAAAGCACAGCAGAAATCACCGCATGATTTACAAAGGTATATTTTTGGCAGAAATATGAAAAAAACATTTACATAATTGTTTGCTAGAAGAATACAAAATACTATTAGGAAAGAAAGAAAGGAGCACATATTTCTACGGCTTTGGTTTTGTTTTCATACCAGAAATAACTGAAATCTGGTCTCTTTTGTTCAATGTGATTATTACAAGAAATGCCTGAAACAAACTTCCAGAAGGATTAGTTACCTCCTGACCCCAGAGAGAATAAGGAAAATCCAGTGGTACATATTGTTGCAGTACAGATACTATAGCAGAGTCTGATGTCTCAAACCAGGGTTTTAAACACCCAGAGAGTACTTTAAAAGGAGAGGGCAAAAGGCACAAGGAAGCTAACACACTAACACTACAATGGAAGAATGTTTGTTGAAGCAACTGAGGTCTTGTCAAAAGCTTCCCCCAATAGTCTTCAACTTTTTCAGCTTCAGGCCCTACCTCTAGTCCCAAACGGCAACAGTATTTATTTGTCGTTTAGGCCCATTTTTCTCCCCTCCTCTTTAGGGTAGCAATGTGCAAAGGAAAGCAGGGTATTTCTATTTTTCATAACTGTACAGAAGAGGGTGTTGTTGTTGTTGCTGTTTTGGCAGGTGCAGCTTGTTGAACAGCAGAGAAAAAGCCACATGTACCAATCTATCTTTTGATACACAACAAAGAGAGTGGAGCTCTGTCTCCTTAGGCTGGTTACCCTTTCCTCCCTTCTCCAGCATTTTTAATGACATTCACCAGGGGTCATTTCCTGCAGAAGCGCACAGGAGCAGAGCTCCTGCAGTAAAGAACCAAGGGGGCGGGCACATGCAGCAAGTCCCACCCCCTGCTCCCAGCAACCAATCTGGGAGGGATGCTGCTGTCAGGTCACCTTCCCTCACCCACCCCCACCCCCACTCCCAATCTGCCGGGAGTGGACAGTCCAGTGGCACCTTTAAGACCAAGTTTTATTCAGGTACAAGCTCTCCCTCATCTGTGAGGACAGATCTGTACATTCCCCCCCCCCAATAGCTAGGAATCCAAAACAGTCCAATGGAGCCTGAGTGGTGGGTGTTGCCTTCTGACACACTTCCGGTGATGTCAGGGGGTGTGGTATATGCAAATGAGTTATGCTAATGAGCTCCTGCATCTCTTTTTCTACGAAATAACCCCTGACATTCACTATCTTGTCCATACCACCACCACAACCAGGAGGTCAATATTTAAATACTGTGGTGTGGCATTTATTAGTGTCCACAATCTACAGGAATTCAGTGATTCTATCTTTCTAAGCTTGCCTGGAAGTTGGGTTAAAACTTAAGTATAAAATGTTACCATAAACAAGAAATACATATTCTGAATTGCTTGGTCTGCATATTCTGCTTTTGAAAGGGAAAGAGCTTACATTTCAAAATACAGTCTAGAATCAGACATTTGAAAAGGTAACAAAATAGTGCTAGAATCTCATCTGTTCCTTTCTCACTGAAGAAAAGAACTGCTCCGTGGTCATTTCAGTTTGCATTTTAATCCAATCCACTGAATTTGCATGCGTGTTAACCTGCTTGCATGAGTGCTTAAAGTAGTATTGCTCTTGGGAAATCGGCTCAGAAATGGTAAAAAAAAATTCTAACTACCTTGGCACATTTTAATTTTGTTATAAAAACCATTACCCTTTCAACGTGCAGCTCGACATCTTGCTGAGTGCAGCCTCCAATTTTCTGTGGCACCTTCCTCACAACACCTTCAATGTCAACAATGCTCTCTTTGTTAATACTGTCAATAAAAAATCATTTTGATACTGTCAGCACACTGCGAAGTATTCATCTGTATTTTGAAGTACCATGAAGACGGCCATAAAACTCTAGTTTTTAATTTAAATGTTGCACCACCACAAAAGAATGGAGCATACTGTCAACAATATTTAGAATACATCATTAAGGAGGACAAAGGAGGTCTTTTCTAAATAATTTCTCAGCTGTGATAAATTAACCCAGGGTGGAAGGCTGAAAAGAGGGAACTGTAAAGAGATTTCTTCAGCATTTCAGAGTCAGCTATTACCTCATCAGTCTGGGAAGCATTAAATAAGAAATAATGTTCTATGTGCCAATGAGCAAGGCAACTGGACTATTATATCATCAAGTGTGTTTTTAAGCCACAGCTTTTAAGGTCAGGTACAGATAAAACCTAGACAAGAGATGAACCTGAAGTGATATAGTTTGGCTTTTCTGGTAGCTAAGGCACTGAAAAGCATTAAGGAAAAAATAGGTGAGGTACACTTTTAAACTCAAAGTTATTTATCATGTTATTATCTTCAGGGTGTGTGCGGGCACCTTCTCGCAAGGAAAAAAGGTCAGAACCCCCATCTTAAAAAGGAAAGAGGAAAATGTATACTACTATATGAAGGGCCTATTGTTATTTCAAGTTTTCCATAGCTTCTGTCAACATTTTTTGGTACTTAATTTCTACAGCATTTTTCAATGTACACAGGCATTTTACAGTCCAGTCCATCTACCCTACCAATTACACAGAGAAGCAGCTTAAGATCGGGAGACAACTTCAGCCAAGGCCCCCTTGTGAGCTTCATAGCTGAGCAAGGATTTGACACTGGGCCGTCCATATCCAAAGTCAAAACCCTATGCAGTCACACATGAAGCTGCCATATACTGAATCCATCAAAGTCAGTATTGTCTCCTCGAACTGGCAGCAGCTCTCCAGGGTCTCAGGCAGAGGTCTTTCACGTCACCTACTGTCGGATCTTTTTAACTGAAGATGCTATAGCTTGAACATGGGACCGTCTGCAAACCAAGCAGATGCTCTGCCATTAAACCTCAGCCCCTCCTCTTAGATGTCAATAAATACAAATACAATACCTTTATTGGCATAAAATATCAAATACAACATGCAGCATAGAGCCTCAAGATAGGTCGGGGGGGGGGGGTATCACATTCCGAATTGCCTTAATATGAGCCTCTCCTCCTAGATACCTCATAAAAGAAATTTGCTACAGTTTCAAGAATTTCTATATTATTCGAAGACAATAAAGAACTAATTTTATACTCATCAGATTGGCCCAAAAGGGGGTCCAACACAGGTTCAATATAAGCAACACGGATGTCATAGTGGAATTTACAGTACAAAAGCCCATGTCCAACAGATTCAATTTCCCCCATCCCACATGGGCACAATCTATCTTTATAGGGAATTTTCTTGAACCTTCCTGATAAAACAGCTGAGGGAAGGATGTCGAACCGAGCTAGCATGAAAGCCCTACGAAGATGGGGCTGAATCAGTCTTGCCAGATATCCTGAGGAAATGTGGCTGAAAGAGTCCCATACTCAGGGAGAGCAATGTCTTCTCAGTCTTCTCAGATCTTGCACCTCTAATCGAGGAGTCTTTGAGTAAGGCAAAAGCCTTCTGCTCAGACAAAAGTACCAAGTCATCAAAACTAAAGCCAATTATAGAATTGTTTTTCTCTATATTAATCAACCAAGTCGATAGATGGGATTCTGTTAACATGTGTACCACAAGACTGTTTGGGCCACATCTAAAATGAAGGTGCAGCCAAAATTTGAAAGTTATGGTCCATGCCATCATAATTAACCGTCTTTGGGTTGTCTCCAGGCACATAGCTGCATATGGTACGCAAGCTGGTAGCCCCAAGATTTTCTTCAGGAACTTAGATTGAACACGTTCTACAGCTTCATTGCAAGCTGAGACCCAAATTGGGATACCATAAAGCAGTTTGTCAGGTATTTTATGGTTGAATACTTTCAGAGCAGTGGGAATATATTGATGTCCTTTGGTTTAAAAGAAATGAGCAATAGCAAGGGCGTTGTTAGTTGATGACTTGACTGCTTCTTTGATATGTGTAGCCCAACTGTTAGTATAATTGAAATAGATGCCCAGGTATCTATGGCTTTTGACTTGTTCAATTCCCTCCCCCCCCGTATAATCCAGTTAATGGGCTTCCAACTTTTCTCGAAGACAATAATTTTGGATTTATCAAAGTTCAGGGACAACTTGTTCTTATTGGAATAAGCAAGAGCTTGGGCAAGCATCCTTTTCATCCCCATTTCTGAGAGAGAGAGAGCAGGACAGCATCGTCCGCATACAAAAGTAACAGG